AAATTATATTAACTCTTGTATTAAGACAATTCAATTATATTATGAAGTTGATTTTGTTATTAATGCTACGTTGAACTGTGATTGAGTTATAGACAATTCAGTTATATTATGAAGTTGATTGAGTTAGGGTAAGTTTGTGTATAAGTTTGGGTTCGCATAGGTATGGAACCTTGGAGGGGAACCTTGCCTATGTGCTGGTCATGGATCCGGGATTCGGGTCGTGATAGTATACCTTCTGAAGATGGAGCAATGTTGTGTAAAACCTTCCCCATCAGCTAAAACTTGTGCTAGCTTTGACAAAGAGCTTTAATTTGATGAGAACTCGTCAGGGAGATGGAGAAAACCAGCATCTCTTCAACCTATCGATACCACGAGAGCTGCAGGTAATGGTGAGGAAGAAATATTTAGCTCAAGAAGAAGGGCCATTAATCCAGCAGCATGGTTCCATGAACCGCAATGTCTACATCATTGCAATCATGGGGTGCAAGACCGAATTAATCCAGATATCATTAAAGCCAACTTGCCTCATACTTTGCTTAAGCACCCTCGCTTCTCTAGTTTGCTGGAAACAACTAGAGATTATATCTTCTTTTCCTTTTTTTCATCTGAAGAAAAAAAATTAAACCAACAGCTCTGTCCGTCCCAATATTCTCCAATTTTGTTTTTTCAGAAATTCCATTTTGTTTTCTCTCCTCAGAAATAAAAATTTACTGTTGTAATTACCTGTTAGGCCTATAGGATTTTTTTTATAGAAAATGTAAAAGTATTTGTAATCAGATCGATCCATGTGATGAAAGGAATCATAATTTATAATCAACCAAACTGAGAAATGGCAGGTTGTGGATGAGAAAAATAACAAGAAAATGAAATGGGTTCGAACAAAGGTTGGTTAAGACAAGCATGTTATTGATCCTGAGCTAAACCAAATCATGGAATCACCAAAAAAGTTCATAGAAGACTACATCTCCAATCTAACCAAAACCACCATTGACAAATCACAGCCTCTCTGCTGACCTTCATCTCCTGAAGCGGTTGGTGTTTTCAGGATCCCCACTCTCTTGGGAATGGCATTTCTCTCATGTCTCCTATATTGGTTTGTACTCGACAAATTTCAGATCCTAGCGCTTTGCCTACTATTCCAGGCAAGAAGAAGAAGCAAAAGAAGTGTTCTTTTGAAGCCATGTGCACCTTTTTCTCTGCTGAACTAGTTTCCAAGCTTTTCGGCATCAAGGTATATATATACTGACTGTATATATGCACACCATTGTATTTTTAGTTTATATGAAGCATGTGATATTAAACAATTGTAATCAGTCTAAGTTGATTTTAATGTTTGATTTACAGACAGCAAGAGCCTTATCCCACAGAATTATCAGTCACACAACAATGCGCTTCTCGAATCTAGTAGGACCCCTCGAGGACATTGGGTTTCATGGACATCCAATAGCTTACCTAGCTCCAAGTTCTTTTAATCAGCCTCAAGTGAGTATTTTCGAGAAAATTTTGAGTCAGAAAAGATAGTTAACTTTTTTCATAATATCAATCAAAGGTTATGATTCGAAATGCCATAACCATCACATGGATTACTAAGTATAATGAACATATATAATTAGAAGCTGATGGTAAATGGCACGTGTTGCAGGCGTTAATGATCAACTTCCAAAGCTATGTGAATAAGATGGCCATTGTTCTATCAGTTGATGAAGGGACCATTCCCGATCCTCACCAGTTATGTGATGATATTGTTGAATCACTCAAACTCATCAAAGATGCTGTAATATCTACGTGTCTCATCAAGGATAACAATTAAGCCCGACCCTGTGCTGAGATTCCTGATTACAAAATCACTTCCCTTATTTGTATATGTACTGTACTGTCTGAAAAAGGGAGTGCGCTAGAATAAGAGTAAGGACTTCTCCTCTGTCGTGACTAGATTCAAATTACTCTGTCTCGGCAATGATCGCATCTCCCAAAAACGTTTTTAGTGTGGTGGCTGACATGTAAGCAAAATCCGGTTGCTCCTAATCCTGATGTGGATAGCATGTCTTAGACTAGACCAGAATGGTGGATTAAGTCTTGACTCTTGATTTTCCATGCGTGAATCACTAACCTGTCTGTAAAACCAAAAAATAAAATAAAAAATTCCTGGTCTTCAACTCCAGGTTTTTAGGGAAGATGTACAGGAAGACTTTCTTAATGTTTATCTAGTTTAGCTAGCAACATGACACTCTGCAACACCAGCCTTGTCTTCTTCTTGTTTTCCTTTTTAATCTGTTGGAATGCAAAGACTTTGCTTGCCGAACGTTAACCGTAAAGATAAGAGAAAAGAAAATTTTGATAAGATGGGTTATTTCTAAAAACAGGGCGTATTTTCCAAAATAATCGGCCACGGTATTTACCCTGTAATGAAATACGAGACTCGGTCATCATACGCTACAATCACTTGCATTATTTTAAAGTTGAGATAAACAACTTGGTCTTTGCCTCCCAAGAAGGAACAGGAAAGGGAAAAGGAGAAGGTGAAACATAAATTACGAGGACCGCTAACTGCATTTTGCATTGCTTCTATCTTAAATCTTCCAGCATTTGGTTGTTTGTTAGCTTACAACATTTTTTTTATCTCTCTTTTGAAAGATTCTGAGCACTTTTTAATCAAGGAAACTGCCCTCATGGAATGGTCTGCAACTTCTGCTACGAAAGCTTATCTTGATACCCTGAAACTGGTAATGAAAAGCTTCTTCTTTTCACATTTTGTTATTCTTATTTTTTTGGTACACGATAATTCATGATGAAATTTGAATTGTAAAACAGGGGGGATAGAACACCTTGACACTGAATCAATTTCCTGTTTCTTTTCTTTTTTCCATGAGCCCTGTTTTGTGCCCCCATCGTGTATTATTGGCTCCTTGATGAAAATGACATCTTAAGGGCGCAATAGAAATTGGAAAATACTGGGGCTCTTGATGGTAATATAATCATTGCTGAAAAGATACTCTAATGGATCAAGAAAGCGTAGAGATAGCTTCTTTCTCTTCAAAATACCATTTCATGTGGTTATTACGTAGATTAACAATCCCCCCCCCTCTTGGATTAACCTGAAAGATTGTTATCGTTGCATATATTGACTAATTTATGTTCCTAATGTTAATGACAAGAAGGGGGATGAAGTTTTTTATGTTAATCAACAGGAGAAATGGTAACCCCCCCCCCCCCCCTCCCTGGATTAACCTGAAAGATTGCTATCGATGCAAATATTGATTATTTTGTGTTTCTAATGTTAATGACAAGAAGATGTGGTGGAGATATCATATTTATATTATAGATTATACAAGTATATAAATGGAAACGACGTGAAATAACTTAGGCTATCACTTTTTGATTAAAAAACTAAGCTTATTTGAATCTATTTCGTTATTTTATTTTATTTATTTATGTTGAATAGTTTTCATGAATAAGTTAAGTCGTTTTAGGATCATATTATTTATATATTTTTCTTTTAGTTTTAGTTTATGATGTAATTTTTTGATAAATTAAATAAAAATTATAGAGTGGCATCTTTTTTTTTCTTCTTTTAATGCTTGGCTTCTTTCTCTAAAAGCTTTTTGCTTTAACTTTGTTACTTCATTGTTTTGCATCAATATGGGACCAAAATTAATCACCGAAGTCTATCTTGATAGTTTGTTTTGATCATTTTTTGGTTTGTCCTCCTGGTATATATGCACTAAGACACAGCTACAATTATGCATGACCTCCATGGATGGTAGCTAACCACGGTGTTGTTTTTACCTACAGTGTGGCAATCACAAGAGGCGATATGACTCGTGGATGACGAAAGAACCAGGAAGCAATGAATTCATATCAGCCTTAGCAGCAGGAATGAAAGCAAAACTTATTGTGGAGGTGGCATATGGTGTCTCACCATCCACTGTAGCCTTAGCAGCCGCTGCCCGACAAACTGGTGGCAGGCTTGTCTGCATTCTTCCAGAACCTGTTCCTGCTGAATCAAAGAAAGTGATCAAAGATTCGGGGTTAAAGGACATTGTAGATTTCAAAACGGGTGACCCCTCCAAGTTATTGCCAAATTACGAAAAGATTGATTTCTCTCTTGTTGATTGTAAAAATGATGAATACACAGGGTTGCTGAAGTTGATAGATGTGAATCCAAGAAGATCAGTGGTGGTGGCGAATAACCTGGTGGGTGAAAAGAAAGGGCTGGGAGGCCATGTTAGGTGTCTTAACGATGAGGTTGTAGTAAGGTCCATGAAGCATCCCATAGGGAAAGGCATGGAGGTTACTATGATCGGAAAGTCCAATGATATCGACAAGAGAGATTGGGGTAGTAGAGGATCCTCTTCTCCACCCAAAATAAGGGAGAATGCAATGAAGAAAACTATCAGCAGCAATTGGATTGTCAAAGTTGATGAGAAGAGTGGCGAGGAACACATCTACAGGGTGCCTAATTTCATTTAGGCCTTTCTCAGCAGAGGCACTCAACATTGTTCTCCCATGCCTCTTGCCGCATCCAGAGAATATGAGGTCTCAGTATGGGAAGTTTGTAACGCAACCGATGTCAAGAGTCATGATCAGGAATCATTCTCACCCCATTGAACCGTGGTCGACAACGACAATTCTTCAAAAGCTCTTGAACCCCCTGGTGATTCTAGTGACCAATAGGAGAAATGTGCTGTTGTCTAGCAGGAACAGAAGTGCTCTAATCTAATTCAGCTACAAGTATGTACGCTAGTTCATTCTGAATGGTATAATCTGTCAGTGGATCAACCTGAGGCTTAGTAGAAAGTGGCTGGGTAAGAGTCTGTCACATTTGTCGCCTCTTTCTGGTTTAAATTCCCAAGTAAATAGACTAACTTTGATACAAGTCAGGTTTGCAGCTATGTAGCCCTCTCCTGGTGCAAAGTTAGGGCATATGGATGTTTTCTGTGAGAAAATCTTTGTGTAACTAATGTTATAATGATGAAGGAAGGCATTTGTGATTACTTTGCTCCTGGCTTAATCATAATGTTATGTCCAACTGGCACCTTTTTGTTGGCATCTCAAGCTTAATGATCAAGACTCTGTGAGGCATGGATCTTGCTTAATAGTTAATACAACCAATTCGCTCAGATGTTTCATAGAAGATATGTCAACATCTGGCTGACCAAGACAATGACTGCTCGATACCCCTAACCTAGCAACAAACGCATTTTTATTGGCCAGCACTTCTTTTTTTCCGTTGGTTTGTCAAAACTAAACCTGCCTGGTGTCTTTTAATGCCTAACAAGTCTCGATCTCACAAATTAAAGTTCGCCACCTTTATCTATCACCTCGGCCCTTCAACAGCTTGCTAGTTTCTCCCGTCAACAGGTTGCTTTTACATGCAAGTGTTATTACGGTGTAATTGTATTTTTAAAAAAAATTGGATCTGTTTTAGTTTTAAATTATTTTTTTAGATTTTTTTTATCATTTTGATATTAAAAATAAATTTAAAAATAAAAAAATATTATTCTAATATATTTTTATATGAAATAACAAAGTCAAACAAAAAAAATGCATGAAACCGGTTTAGGAGTGTGATTCATGATAACTAGATATATAGATTTCTCCACATCAATATTATTTTTAGATTAAGAATATATATATATAAACAGTGTTGAAAACAAGTTTACTTCCAACGCCAGCTTTCTAAGCAATGCAAGTTTGTAACAGAACGTTTTCTTAATATTAACGGTAATTCGAAAACAAAATTGAGAGATAAGAATGTTGTCGTTGGGTGGTGAGATTGCAAGAACTGGCGGGAATGATGATTACCCGCCATCACCTAACCATAATTTTCCCTTCATTTTCAAGAAACTGTTTCATCTCAACAACTACTCGCTACCTGAGCACTGCCTTCACTTTCACGTTCGCAATACTCTTTCTTCTTGTTCTTGTCATCCTTGGCTGCTTCCTGTTACGAGCCTTCGATCTTCATGGCAAATTCAAGATTTCAAAAATCGAGGCTTGTGTTTGTTTTATTATGCTTCTTGTTTTTTGTCTCGAGACTCAGGATCTTCGTGGCTGCTGATGATAAGTCAAATGAGTCTAACAAAGATGATGGTTATGATTTTGCAGTCACAGAAGAAGATCAGATTGGTGACAATAGCACTACTAGTGGTGGTGCTTATGCTGCCCCTAGTGGCGTTGCGATGGATCAGGAAAGATCCGAGCTTTGCAATACCGATATGAGTAGTTTTCTTCCTCCACCATATAATAACATATCAAAGATGGTCTGCAAACCAGTTTGGAATACTTTTCTGTTGAGGGTAAGTCCAATCTGACGATTCATTTTCCTTTGATCTCATTTGTTTCTGCTCATGGACATGCCCTAATATCATCATCTTGTGCCTGCAGTATCACAAGAACGAAGATAATGTGGTGACTTTTATATTATCTGCTGTATACACAACCGGATGGGTGGCAATGGGGTTTTCGAAAGATGGAAGGATGGTTGGATCCAGTGCTATGGTGGGCTGGTTCAATAGGAAAGGTCATGCGAGAATCAAAGAGTATTACTTGCAAGGTACTAGGCCATCACAGGTCATAGAGGATGCAGGCGAATTGGACCTCACAAAGGTTCCACCTGCTGTTGTGATTAATGGGGCTATGATTTACTTGGCATTTCAAGCCAAGTTTGAAAAACCTCTCGCTTCCCAGCCAATCATATTGGCTTTTGGAACCAGGTATCCGAATCACTACCGCCTATCTTCACACGATGACAAGACCGCTATTCTTTTCGACTTCACTGCTGGTTTGTTTCATCTCCACCGAGCTGGGCTTCTTCTTTTTTTTTTTGGTTTTTCAGCATGTGATTTTACTTGTAGTCCCTCACGAAAATTGCTCTGACTCATATTTGGTCTCGATTTCTTTTCCTACAGGTTCTGCTTCTAGAGCACATATAAATCCTGGGCAGATGAAGAAGAATCACGGGGTATTAGGAACCTTGGCATGGGGTCTATTCCTTCCTAGTGGGGCAATTGTTGCAAGGTATTTGAAGCATAAGGAACCACTCTGGTATTATCTACATGCTGGTATTCAGTTTTTGGGATTTCTCTTGGGGCTTGCCAATGTGGTTCTTGGACAGCAACTCTATAGCAAGATTGATGCCAATGTACCATCACACAGAGGCATAGGGATCTTTGCTCTCACTCTTAGTATTCTTCAGGTATGTCCTCATCTGATTTTATGCACGGGGGCTTTTCATAATCGCATGTTGATCATATGAAATGCACTCTGATAAATGCTCCAAACTGGGATTCAGATATTGGCGTTCTTTTTAAGGCCTAAGAAAGATGCCAAGATCCGCAAGTACTGGAATTGGTACCACCACTGGTTTGGAAGGATTGCCCTCTTCTTTGGAGTCTTCAATATAGTGTGGGGAATCCATCTAGGAGCTGCAGGGACGTCATGGAAGATAGGCTTTGGTTTTCTAATTACAATGATTCTAGTCACAGTTATTATTCTCGAAACGTTGACATGGTTGAGGAGATCAGAGAAGACTACTCCACCTGAAACCTTCCAAATGAATCCAATTTAGTACACAGTTTTCAGGTACCCTTTTAAAAGAATCTGCATTTTCCTTTCTTTCAATTGAGTCAGTGCTTCCTTTCAACTTTACACGAGTATTATGTCTACATCCTTGGCCATATTACTAGAAATTTCAAGAGTAATTTGGTGAAACAGGGTAACGGGTAACTGATTGATGAAAGATTTTGCATCTGAAAGTAATGGTAGAAGTACTCAGACATGCACCAATTATCTTTTTTGACAAGACCAGAAAGCCATGTCCAGCTGCATTCTGGTTCAATCTTGGACCTAGTCAGAACCTGAGTGTTGAATCTATTTTACAAGCTGTTCCTTGTGTGCCCAGCGTGGCGGCTGGATGCTAAGGATATGGTTTGTGGCTGGATAATTGCGTCTGCCAAGCTAGAGAGACCGTCAGCTTTTCTGTACAAATTGTAGTTGAAGCGATATGTATGATGGAAGATTTCGTTTTTGTGAGGAAATTGGCATGCTGTGTAGCTGTTTAGAATTTGTGGGTTGTCTTTTCTTCTATTTTGTTTGGCAAGGATAATGCAAAGATATTTTTTTAGTATGTTTTCTGAAATGGCAACGAAAAGAATTAACAAAAGAGTTACATCTCGTTCTTGGTTGGAATATTTTTTTCAAAGAGTGAAGTTGAATTTCTCTTTTCTTCTCTTCTGGCTGAAGTTGAATTTATTTCTCTCTTTTAACAATACAAACAATTCGCCTGCCCTTCGGCAAGAGAGATGTCGGGGAATTTCACAGGTTCAAAATATTTTAGTTTTAGTGAAAGTAATGCATCTTTAAAATGTCAAAGCTATAATTAACTCAATGGAAAAGTTCCCCTTATTTACAATTCAATCAAATTAATTTTTCAAAGTCAAAGATATGGGAAACCAAAAGGACTGAATGTATTCAGATGCTATGATCCAAGTTATCAAAATTTTCTACCTGCATTTTCAGCCAAGATTTTCAACTTGACGAAACATGTGCTGAAGATTCAAATGGTAGACTTCCTACTGTATACCTGCACATCAAGCAACACCCAGAATAAGGCCCCCAAAATGTGGCTCTATTTGATGTCACTTGAGCATCAGCAAGTAATTTCAAGTTATGGGTGACTTCACTTTTTTTGTTCCGGTAAGTCGGCGCGCTTTAGTTTATGTGACTTGCAGGAAATGAATTATTTTTTACCGAAATCATGGCAACTTCAAGTCATGGAAGAAAAAACCATTGGGCGTCCAAGTCCTGTTATGTATCCACTACCCAGACATCTCTTGCTGGTTATTCAAAGGAATCAATTATGGTACATTTTAAGAAGAATCCATGACAAGGCAGCAACTTATTAAAAAAGGCAGTTCCTCTCTTTTGACCTGGCCCGTTTATTATGCTAAAATGGTACCGTTTCTGGAATTAACAAGAAGGGATAGAAAGAGAGACAGAAATACCTGGAGTAACAAAATGGAAGCATCTGTTACTGTGTATCCACTATCCAATTGCACAGGCACAAACCAAGTCAAATGGAGAACTGCAAATTTATCAGAACATAAATATACTAGTCACAAATAAATCTTGTATGCACTTACACCAAATTCTATCCATAGACTAAGAGAAGGTTCAGCCTGCATATTGCCCTATGGCTGTGATACGGAGGTCTAGAAAGAAACTGCAGAGAGCAGTGTTTACAAATATGTATTTACATAAGAAAATAGAAGATCAAAGAAGCAGTTCATGAAATGGAAATTTCCTCAGGTTCAACAGATAAGTTACCTGTTTTTGTTAGTCAAGAAAACAAAAATTACATTGGCTTTGATTATAGAGAACAAACCTTTAAATTTGCAGAAGGTGCTGTGACCATGAAAGCCAGAATATACTCAAGATACTTGTGCCCCTCGCGCATATGATCCAATAAAGATATTATCTTCCAGTTTTCTCCAAACAATCCTGCTTATTTTGAATCGCCTGATTGGAAAGAACAGCAGAACCTAGGATCATGTAGCACTAGTTGTGCAACCTTCACCTGCAGCAAAGCTTGTAGATTTGGGAGATTCACTGCCTCTTACCACTCTGTTATATATAACTTTAAAAGACTGTGAGCCATATGGTCGACTAAGCAAGCTCATTGGCATTCTCAGAGTCTGCTTCCGGTTTCTCCTTCCCCTTAACAAAATGCTGAAGGTTTTCTCCTCATTAATCTGCTGGTCAATACTGCTAGTGACATTTTCTTGTGAGCCTTTTTCCTGACTCGAATCACTCCTATAAATTTGAGCTTCGGATGGATTTGAATGACCATTTTCCTTTATATTTTCCAACCCAGCCCCAGTCAATTCCTTCACATTGTCATTTCTGTCTGATGCTTGAAGGTTTGCTTCGTCATTTGCTTCTCCTATGTTGTCAATGTCCACTGACAGAATTGGAGGTGGACTTGGGCTTTCAG